CATGATTTATGTGTGGGGACGGTGTATATGTAAGGTGACAAGTATATATGCGTTGTCATTGGGTTAAAACATGCGGGTGAAAATTATTTTATTGAACTATGTTGTTTCATTGTTTATGCTTTCCATGCTTTAGTTTGAATATTATCTCATTAATTGTACGCTTTTGTAATCGTCGTTTATCTTAAAGTTGTTGGGATATTGAAGGTTGAGTTTGTTTATCATAATACTATGATTGAAGTGAAATTTACTTTCCATCTTGCATTGATACCTTGGTATATTGTTGTTGCTTGGTGAGGAGGAGTGAAAAGCTCGAAGGGTATTGCATATGCTATCATTTATTTGAGAGATTTTGAGGATTAAAGCACGAAGAGTGATATTGTGCACTTGATTTCTTATTATCATTTATCATACCATGTGAGGAAGAGAGTAAAGCTTGAAGGGTGATGCCATGCTATTTTATTTATCATATTATTATTATATGGTGAAGTTGAGAGTAAAAGCACGAAGGGTGATGTCGTTCCATTATTGGTTCTATTGCTTTATATTATTTCCGGATTTTGTGATTTATCGGTTGCATTGTCGTTTATCTTGGAAGTAGTTTACTTGGTGACTTTGTACTTTCACTTCTTATCGTACTTACCTTTTCTACATTGTTGGAAATTGATTAGTTTTTGTTTTGAAGGTGCAAAAACTAGATGCTCTCTAGTTTGTTATATTGAAGGTGCAAATACAATTGGTAGGACTAGATGCGCAATTCAGACAAGAACTTGGATTTCTTGCAGCACTGTAGCAACTGTGCTCAGTTTCTGATACTAACACAACACTAGCAAATCTTGATGACATCAACATTTAACAATCAGTACTATGTTAACTTTCTCTTAGGAAAAGGGTTTCTTGTTTCAGATCAGGTCTTAGCAACTGTGGATGACAATACTAGAGAAATAGTGCAAACTTATGTGGATGATCCATCTTTTTTTTTTTTTTTTTTTGAGGATTTTAAAAACTCCATGCTCAATATGGGAAGCTTGGCACCACCAACTGAAAAACTGGTGAAATCCGTGTTAACTGTAGGATTGTTAGTCAATTTAATTCTTAACTCCTTAAAAACAACTAATTAGTATTTGATTATATATGAACTAAAAGTAAGTTGGTTGGCCAAATTTGTACTATTGATATCATGTCGCCTAACGTGCTCTCTACATATGTTATGTGTGCTTTTTCCATTTAAACACTATTTTGATTTAATTTTGCAGTAGGTTGATGAATAGTTAAATGACTATTTAAGAGCCCCCAAAGTCACTTATAAATATATAGCTAAGATCACATTTGCTTATACGCCATCATCTTAATTAGGGGTGTACATAGGTCGGGTTGATTCGGATTTTACAATCATCAAACCAAACCAATTGTGTCGGATTATTAAATCTAAAGACCAAATCAAACCAATAAAACTCGGATTTTCAATCTCGGGTTTTCGAATTATTCGGGTTTTTTCAGGGGTTTTTCCAGTAAAATCTTCGTAGAACAAAACATATAACTTGTGCTCAAAATATTTCTTTAATCCTAGTAAGATACAACTATATAAAGTATTTTCCAAGAAAATAATACAAAATATGAGATTTATTATCCTAAAATATTCAACAATAAAGACAATAAAATTATGTAATATAAATATTCCTAATTAAAAAGCCATAATAAAAATAAACATAATCTAAAAGTACTAAGTCGTGCTAAAATAAGTAGACCAATAAGGGCGTATTAATTACATGACTAAACGCTAAAGAAAAAATAAAAATAGGTTATGCATTTTTATCTAAATTATTACAAAACAAAAAATAGATATACAATACATTCCGGTTTTGTAGTATTGAATTGAATGTCTTTTGTTAACATTAGTATTGACTTGCCTTTGGTTTGTGCTTTTGTTAGCATTATTTAATTTGCTAATATTAATGGCTATAAAACTTATTGGAACATTCAAAAGTTTTAAGTTTTAAGTTCAACCTTGAAATAATACCTTAAAAGATAGAATTATGGAATTTTTTAAGGAATATTTATAAATTACATCACAATAAGTATATCTATATAGTAAATATATCTAAAATTTCTATATATGTAATGTCGGGTTGGTTTGGTTTTTGTTTGACTTTCTTTAGTTAAAACCAAACCAAACCAATTATGATCGGGTTTTTTTAATCCAACACCAAACCAAATCAAACCAAACCAAACCAATTATGATTGGGTTTTTTTTTCCAACACCAAACCAAATCAAACCAAACCATAATCGGATTTTTTTTCTCGGTTTAACTCGGATTATCGGGTTGGTGTAATTTATCGGTTTCCTTTGTACACTCATAATCTTAATATCTTCACCGTTTTAAGTCAGAGTTGTCGATGGACAAGAAATTTAAATATACTTGCCATCCAAAATCTGAATAAGCACCTTTTACGGATATATTATTTATTACAATTTTCACCTTTTCTATAATATGCTATGAATTAACAGAAAATAAAACCACCCTTATATGGATGTATACAGGTTGTGTGCGATTTAGTAATGGCAAAATGGATTAAATAATAATTATTCATCCATATTATCCACTAAAAATAGACTGAATAATAAACTTCTTAAAAATAGATCAAATATTGATAAAATCCATATTATCCACTTAAAAAATAAAAAATAATAGGTAATTAATGGGTTTAACTAGGGGTGTTTATAAAAACCCAAATCGGAAACCGAACCAAACCGACTAAAAAACCCGACACTTTTTCGGTTTGGTTTTGGTTTTGAATTATAAAAACCGACTAAATTTAGTCTGGTTTTGGTTTTAGTAAAAAAATAACCGAAAAAAGTCTAACCAAAACGAATATAGAAGTAGCTATTTAAAATTTTAATAGTTTACACTTTTAGTCTAGTTCTTTGTTATTATAATAATCTAGTTCTTTACCTTTACATTCTAGTTTAATTAGTAGTTTTCTTTTGCTAAGTACGGAACTTATTTCATGTTAAAAATAATTTATTTATAATTGAGTCATAAAATTATGCATCACTATTTAGTTCAATTATCATCAATATATCTTAATAAATGATAGACTTCTCAAAAAGCATTTGATTTGATAGTGTTATGTTGAAAATATAGTCGATGTAATATGTGTTTAGTAATATATGTGTCATATTTAAGAAAAATCCGATAATAACCGCAAAATTCAAAAAATCGACAAAAACCGACATACATCGAAGCTACAAAAAAACCGACTTAATTGGTTCGGTTCCAATATTTGAAAAACGGCTTACTTGATTTGATTTCTTTTTTAGCGAAAAATTAATCCAAACCGAACCATGAACACCCCTAGGTTTAACTATTATATTTGCAAAGACTCAAAAACACTAAAAATTCTCCCAAAAGTGATCTCAACCCATTTTCTATTCATATTGACGGGCTGAATATTGTTGAGAAACTTTCAGAAACCACTATGTTTTAGTGGTTATTAGCTAGTTGTAGCTACCATTTACTATATTACTTCCTATAGCTATGTTTTCAGATTTTTTAGAGTGTATTCAATGTATTTAAGCTACTGTATTCATGAATACAATAGCATTTCTAGGCGTGAAACAGGGCATTACAGCTAGACGAATTTTTGTATTCGAGTGTATTTGACTATATTCATGGCGTGAAACATGGGATTATAGCTAGACAGATTATTGTATTCACGGCGTGAAACAGGGGATTACATTGTTTTTAAACGGAAAGTGAATCAATTAACATAATAAACTCCTAATATAACTCAACAAACTCAATTATAACACACAAATTTTGTATTTCTATTTATAAAAAAGATTCTCAACCGAAAAATACCCCAAAAACATAGCAATCTTCAGAGAAATTATATAATACATCTAAATAAATAAATTATATTAATTAAAAAAACACATATGAATACATTCATGGAATATAGCGAGACAGTGAATACAATCAAATACATAGACTACAGCGGGATATATTGAACTACAATGAAAAAAAAGACAATGAATACAATGAAATACATAGAATACAGCGAGATACATTGAAATATAATGAAAAAAAGACAATGAATACAATGAAATACAGCGAGATACATTGAAATATATTAACAGAAAATTCAAGTTGCTCAGCCCCCAACTCCCTCGTCTCTGTTCAAGAACAACCTAATGTATTTCAATGAATTACGGCCATGGCCGAAACGGTGACGGTGGCAATTGCTCCAGCGTCCGGCGGAGGAGAAGACATCGGGAAGTAGAGAGAGAGGGAGAATAGATATGGGGTAAGTGATAGGAGAAATTTGAAGGGATATGAGAGAAAAAAATAATACAAAGCTTATTTTATGGCTTAAGAGTAAGAAGTGACCATAAATAGATATTTGGCTATAAAAAATCAAAAGGTAGCTATGGAATATAGTTTTTTTAAAGGGCATTTATTTAAAATAAATAATGTATCAACCTTTGCTTGCTATAGGAGGTAACTAATCCAATATTTTTTTCCTTTTTGCATTACCCATTTTCAATCCACCCATATCCAACCTGAGCCGCCCACTTGTCACCCCTATGTGCTACTCTGCTATCATGGTAGCTGAGCTGGATTGCATTAGAATTTTCTCGTCAATCTCAAATCTAGTTTAGAGAACGATCTCTAACTAACAGCATTTAGAATTTTTTTGGTTGATCTTAGATCTGGCTAGAGGTATAGAATTTTTTGGTTGATCTTAGATCTGGCTAGAGAACGATAAAACCTTGCAGCAATAAACACATCGAGTCTTGCTATGAAATGGCCGCAACAAAGCGACATATTGCTATTTTAGGATATAGTTGATTTTTTTACTAATAAATATCACTACTTCTGGCACATACGATCTACCTAGCAAGATTTTGCGCTGCCCTCTTAAAGACATCTAACACCTTAATATTTGCGACCAGGGGCAGTACAAAGGAAAACTAAACTAAGAGAAATTAAGATGTCAAGTAGAACGGAAAGACGTCACCTGAAAAAAGTCTCTCTCTCATTATACATGTCAACCCACCAAAGCCAGGTTTAAGACATAAAGCATGCAATGGAGTTTGAGATAAGTCAAGATCACTGCATAGCTACCTCAAGCAACTTAATTGTAACCCCCAGCAGATAATAATGCAATGCAGCCATCTCATACACAACAAACTATTTGCTTGAATGATTTATTCTCTTTGGTCAAGGCTACTGGAGACGGGGTTATTTCTAGACTACAAACATCTTTGAACCCTGACTGTGGGCTCTGATATAATACGATGCAGTGGGGGCTAGTATCAAGAAATTTCTGAAAGCCTGAAGCACACAATGAATATTTCTAAGAAATCTAGAACGCTTTTGTAGCATTTTAAAGCTGCGGATGGATTGGCATGGGAGCATCAGACTCCTTGGGAAGTGTACTCAATACTGTAAGTTCCTCTACCAAAAGATATTCACAAAGTAATGCTACATCTCACTTGAAATCAGGCTGCACAATACAACATTGTGGCATTTGCTTCCAGCTAAGTGCATCATTCAGACGCAAAATTCAAGCTCCTGAGAACAGATATTCATAAAAAGGCGTTAGTAAAGCAGGAATAAGATTCTCTCAACTGTAAAATAAACAGAGGCATTTGCTTCCGCCAATGGAGCAAACACGCATGCCACTAAGCAAAAGATGCAAAGGCCTGGCCATTGCATATCCACATCCATTGTAAAAAAAACCTCTCAAGTAAACAAAACTTCTATCTCCAGCTCACAGCTGATGAATAAGCCCAACTTCTAGAATGTTATTTGCTCAAACACCAACCACAGCAAAACAAAAGGGTTGCAAGATGGTATCATTGGACTTTATTTTTGACCAACTCAATAAAATCTGTAATCGAAAGAAAGGAAGAGACCTGCAGGCTTGTTTTTCCACATCCACTCCTGAGCAGCCTGAATCCCCTGTGAAGAGGTAAGAAGATGAGAGGATATGGCAATCAAATGCCCTACGAACATGTTCGTCACCTGTTACACTAACTGAGTAGTCCTCAATTCTATTCATTAGAGAACTACACACTGTAATCAGCACATTACGAAATAGTTGAGAACCCTTTAATCAAGTAACTCGTTCGTTACTGCAGATATGTGTTGCTCGCGCCAAATAAATTTTAATATATATGTTGACGATAACAAACACCAGATACATGCTACATCATTGAAGATCTTTTGGCGAATATAAAAGCACATAAGTTTAAGATATAGCAGAAAGTTGGATTATAGAGAACGTAAAGCAGGATACTGAAACAGCCCTTCTGGCTCAATTGGAGCTTACAGGTTTCTGTAACCACAGTAGAACATTGGTTGCACCCAACAACTGTCTTTATGAAAAAGCAGATTAAGGGTTTATGAGGAAACACACATCAGTGATTGCATTTTTGACCCAAAAAGCAGTGCATCTATGGGAAGATGAGAAGGGAATTCTATAGCTATAGCCAGCCACTATTTTGCTAATTCAACTGAAAGTTGTGTCCATACTGTTGGTTGAATGTTAACTGAAGCATGGCACCAGACAAAAGAAAACATAGCCAAATTCAGAACGGAGTACTTAGACTCGGAAAAAACACATTCAAACAGGAAAAACTTTTCATCTTCTCCCTTCTCTGCAATTGGCTGTGGTGAGGGGAGAATATGGTCACAGGTTTTGCCAAGTACTGTGGTTAGGGACTGTAGAAGCCATACCAGGGAGAAACCTCTCAGCTTCAGCACAAAAAATAATGCAGAAAGCAGGTATTCGCAGAACAACACAAGCACATAGATGATTTCATTAGCACAAGCTACGTCCAAGATATTTCTACTTTTTCTAAAGAATCTAAACCTTCATTACGAGTCAAATTGGATAGCCTAGATGGTAAGATATGGCTTAGAAGTTGATACTGTACATCAACAACAAACCCGGTGTAGTCCCACAAAGTGGGGTCTAGGGAGGGTAGTGCGTACGCAGACCTTGCCTCTACCTTGTGAAGGTAGAGAGGCTTTTTCCGATTGACCCTCAGCTCTGTAGTTGATATTGTACATCACAAGATACAAATTCTACTTCACCAGCCAGGCAAATATTTTACTGGGAATATAAAGGGCAATATTTCTACGGTTTAGTGAATGATTTACCAAGAACTAAAAAGATATGATCAGAGCAACAACGAAAGAGCATAATGGTACCTGAATCGGTTGTTGACCTGTCATTCCAACTGCATACTGGAAAATCAAAACCAAATAATAAAAATCCACTGAAATTGAAGTCCTATGAAGAAGTATGGGTTAAATGCTAACCAGAGATCCTTGAGAAGCTTGTTGCAATTGTTGAGGCGGGCGGACCTGGGTTTGGACATATGTTGGGAGCTGACACTGAAGTTGTGCTTGCATTTGAGCTTGTTGGTAAGGCAACCCATGTGGTTGAGCCTGAATGCGAGGCTGTTGGGCAGACAATTTTTGCTGTTGCTGTTCATACGATATCAGCTCCTCCGGCTTTTCCCACTAAATTTCGAAAACAACGCATTATTAGGTGGCCTAAGAAATTAGAACTTCAACCAGAAGGCAGAATAGCAGATGTTTACCCTGCTTTCTCCTGTAATACTGTCATAATAGTACTTGAATCCATCAGGCGATGTGTGCTCTGTCCAATTACATTTCACCGGACCTGTAATCTGGTTCACTCCAGATGCAGTAGATGAAGCAGGAACTACATCTGCTTTTGGTTGGACAGCTGTGGAACTAGGTGCCGCTTGTTGAACAAGTCCATGCCATGGAGACTGCAGGATAATATACATTGTGAGCAACTGACCTCAATTTGCACAGTAACATTTACACCCAATACTCGTATATTCTTGAAATAGTGTTATGGTGAGGGAAAAACAAAAGTGAGCCCCAACCAGAATTGGATAACACAGAGCACATATTGGGCCTTAGAACATACAAGTTTAAAGAGATCAATGGTCAGTAAAGACCATGTATCATTCAAGTATCACAGAAATTATTTTTAACAAAAAAAAACTGAGAATTGCAAGATCTTGAGTTTCAAGAAATTCTATTACGAAAATTTTCTCAAGTGTACCTGTTGTTTAACATCTTGTGTGCCCTGCTGGACTGCTGAGCTTTCATTGGATGGTTGCATGAGCTGCAATTGTTGCTGTAGCTGAGTAAAGGTTTGCTGTGATGATTGAAAGCTCGCCTGCAGATTTTGCGTCTGTTTAGACAACATTTGTGCTAGTTGGGAAGGTGGCTGATGAAGATGTTGGACCAAATGCTGTGGCACAGGCTGCTGCTGGTTTGGGATTGCAGATGCAACATGTAGTTGCATGTTATTACTTAAAGGTGTATGTCCCATTGCAGACGACATATTGCGCTGCATCTGAGGCTGAGAAACAGTTGATTGCCAAGTCGAACCAAGCGACTGCTGCGAGGGCATTCCCTGACTGAAAGGACTTTGACTGGCAGACTGGGACATTTGTACTTGATTCATCTGCCTGAATAAAGCATGAGAAGTTGGTCCCTGTGAAAAAGGTGTTGAGGCTGGAGGCTGAAGTTGCCCGGAAGATGGTAAATGCTGGGGTGACTGAAGTGGCTTCTGTAGTTGAGAAATTTGTGGGCCGCCAGTGGGGATTGGTTTAGCAGGCTAGCCAACAAAAGAAACAACTTAGCACAAAATAATAGACAGAAATCATTCCTAAGATTGAAATAACATTAAGCAAGTTTCTATGAAAACATACCAGTTGCGGTGTAGGAGCAGAAGAAGCCGCAAGTCCTGTAAGAAACCCATTTCCAGTGCCACTAACACTCCCGAAGGAACCACCCTAAAAGTTTGTGTAGGCAGCATTATAACATTTTAATGAAGCAGCAAAGTGATACAACACATGTTTCTATACATATAAACAAATAAAAGTGCGTAATGTATATACAGATTGAGAGAATAAGCCCACAGGCTACAGCATCTTATTGACATTCAATCAACTATTCCTAAACAAAAATTAGTTGGGGTCAATATCTTCTGGAAATTGCATCTAGAAAAAGTTGTAGTCACTCACACAGTGGTCCAATTAAGAATTTGTGATACCGCTAAAGGTCACAACCATATAAAAGCTCGTCTACTCGAATTATGCCTAGAATACAGTATCATACTGATGCCACTTTAGCTCCCATGTCTATTAGAAGATCAGAAAAATCATTCAGATTAAATCACAAAACCTGAATTATAAAGAGCGACTTTGTAAATTGGGTTCTAAAAGTAAAAGAACTTTGATGAATCAAGCAACGCCAAAAATTTGACAGTGAAGTCTAAGAACCGATAAGAGAGACAAGGAAATAACCACAGAGTCGTCCGAATGTCTCACAAAGCCATGATTACCACATGCCGATGTTCTATTAATCGGCTTCTACAGAAGACAAAGTATGATGTAAAGAAGCAATTAATGTTACAAGGACAGGTAATGAAATTCCCTCATAAAAGAAACCAGAACTCACCCAAAGAAATTTGACCCAGAACTGATGCTATTAAATGCAAGGAATGATGAAATAAGAAAACATGTATCGGCAGATGAATCCTCGCACTAACAACAACATTCAGGCATATATTACAGGTCTAAGAATTGGTTCTAGTAATATGACTATAGCACGAAATGGTAATGACATTAAATTCAGTTACCCAGGAATGGGAAGGAAACAGATGGTATAAGCCAATTATAGTATTCCACAACATTTCATTTTACCTCATGTGTTTCTCCTAATTCCAACCTAACAAGACATTTTTGCAGGCACAAATATAAGCCAAAGAACTGGCTTGCTTCTCTCTGCAACAATTGAACAACATACACAGAGGATGCACATTTACCAAATCATACCCGAGTCTATTATACAGCTTAAGACTTGATTTCATATGAATGCTAGAGCACAGAAAAAGACAAGCAAATAATTAAATCAACACATTGCAACACTGCAAACTTTTAATAAAGATTGCAGTTTCCCCTCATAAACAGTTTATCTGGCGGCAACAGAGGATTCACCGCTGTTTTTCTTACCAATGAAGAAGGCGCTGTGGTATCGGTGGTTCTAGGAGGAAACTGATTTCCAAAACCATGCATCCCTTGGTTGAAAATTGGTCTGAGACTTTCTGGACTCATGGGATGCCAGGCATTAGGGCCTGTTTGGTCTTGCAAAGGCTCTCCAGTATTAGGTGGCGGTCTACACACCAGAGAAAATGAAGAGAGAGTCTCTGAGTTCTATTTCGGGAAAACCTCAGTTGCAAATGCAAAAACTTAACTAATACCTAATTCCAGGGGTTGGGAAGCGAGGTCCAAAACCAGGTCCACCAAAAGCTGGTCCACCACCTCTGAAAGGAGTGAAACAGAGTGATAAAGCAAACTATAACCAACTAGAAGAAAACAACAACAAATGCACTGGTTCAAGCAAGCCTGCTCCGGAACATCTTCTGTCTTAAGATAAAGCACATTGGAATTTCATAGAATACCTAGGTTCTCCAGGTTTAGGTCTCTTAGGGTCAGCAAACCGAACAGTTAAAGGTTGATCACACCCCTGCAATTATAAAAGGCGATTAAAAATTGATAAAAGGGTTTGATAATGGTGTCAAATCACAAAGACAGACATTAACATCACAAGCTTACCCTCATTGTATATTTTCCACTCAAAGAGTTTATAGCTGCCATTGCCATCTGTTTATGAGAATATTTGACAAATCCACAACCTTCACAGTGGTTAAAAGTTAAATTAGCGAGGGTGAACACAAACTACCAACAAAAAACCCCCAAAACTTCATGCTTGAATTACTGCTGATAATGCTCAGTATCCTTCGATGCAAGTAATCCAGCACTTAACCAGAATTCATTAAAAGAATAAACCAGGAAGATGGGAAAGCTAAGATTATATTTTCCCCTCAGCAAGGTTATATCTAATTTTGTTTACACTATTACTCCCTCTGTTTCAATTTGTTTGAACCTTTTCGAAGTACGAGGGTCAAATTGACTAATTTTCGGTGTAAATTCGGACATAGATTCTTTAAGTTTTTTGAAAAAAATTAACATACTTAGAAATTACATAAAAGTACTATAGGTCACACTAGTTAACAGTTCAAAGTATTTAAAAACCATTTGCGAAAAATATGGTCAAAGAAAACCTTGTTTGACTCCCCCAAATAGTAATAGGTTCATTCTTTTTGAGAATGAGGGATTATATTAGAGAAAAACAAAGGACCATGTCTTTTGAGGCACGCATACACAAAGGAAATTCCTTGTTCAATACAAAATTTAAGATAAGAAAATACTTTCTAGAAAAAGAAAAAAAAACTTATTTTTCTGGCTACAGATTTATGGAGCCTCACTTGCATGTTTGAAGTTGAAAAATAGATTTCATGCAAATTGCAAACTAAGCTTTCGGTGTAAGTGTCCTGGGGCTAATAATCTATGAAGAAAGGAGGAGGTAGTGCTATCTAACAGAACATTGAAAAATGAAGTGTCAAGACATGTTAACATAATAATACGGCTGCACAGACCATTTAATCTGTTGTTCAAGATAAATAAAATACTAGACATCTAAAAAAAGGATGAGCCTACAGGCAAATCCTCATAGCTCCAAAGCAACCAAACGAGTAGATCAACAATAGCATAAAGTCACAAGTATGGAGTTCAAAACCTTTAAGCACTATCATGGAAAAGAAACTTGGTCTAATCATGCATAGCAAGCACAGGACAAGGTGAGCATTTCATACAGATAAAAAAAAAAGGACTCGATAACACAAACCACGACTCTGCTTCATATCATCACGCATGAGATAGACATCTTCAACACGACCATATGGCGAAAATATCTGAAAAGAATCCAAAACAACTATTTAATTATAGCTGCTTTTCAATAGATAATAAATACAATACACAACAGATGAAAAGCACACAATAAAAGCAAATCATTCAGAAAATCCTCAGCATTTCACTATTCCAAGCCAAATAGGTTAACAAGAACAAGCTGTGTATCTTGTGTCATGACATGATGCAGTTACATGTGCATCACCCAGATGAAAAGTTCTCCAGCGAAGACTGGTGGGCAATCACAACTATAATCAAGCAACAAAGACATATTTACGTCTACTAATTTTAGAGTACGTGTGTTGCACGTATATGTCGTGTCAATAAGTAAAGAGTTGTATATAAGAAGAATGATTTACATACAACAACAGTTGACAATTATTCTTTTATTAACAGAAATGAGTATTAGTACATTAATGCATAGTTGAATTCAAAATAATTCAATATCTTTTGAATCTGCAAAGATGAATAATTTAGTTTAGTTAGTTACATATAGTATTTTTAGTTATAGATATGTAGCAAAGAAAATAGTAATTTGTTCTCTATCTTTTGGGAGCTGTTGTTCTTTTTAAACTAAACGTAAGCTAATATTTTTCTTCACTTCTTGATAAGTTTTAACTTTATAAGAAAAAGGTGTCATCTTTTTTCATTATTTTTAATTCTAAGCTATGGTTTAAGTCTTAAAAAGGGAATGGTTAAAAGGCATTCGTTGCAATATGATATAAAAATTATTTCAGTTGTTTTTGTTTCACGCCTAAAGGTTAGAAAAAAATTCTCAAATCAGAAGTGCTCTTAGAGTTTTTTCCTGTCACAATATTATAAAGAATATGAAATATAATTTGAGCTTCTACAGAATGTCCAGCTCCTCCTTCTAATTGGTTTTAATTTCAAAATTCTAACTTGAATATGAAGTCTACCAACAAACAAGGTAAGTAGATTAAACGCATTAATCAACCAAAAAAACTAAAAGAAAGTGTCCATGAATTAATATGTCTTTATTTACGCTTGATGTTTGTTGAAGTGTGTGACCATCTCATATAAAAGTTTAAGCAGTTAGAAAGAACACACTTTTATTTACTTAATTATGTCTTTAGCACGCCCCCTCACGTGCGGGCTTGATTGATTCTTTTTTATGAACCAAACACGTGAAAATTCTTTTTGATATTGGGTAACAGTGAGACTCAAACCGGGGACCTCTGCCTGATCTAGTACCATGTTGAAGTGCGTGATCATCACATCTAAAAGTTTAAGCTGTTAGAGAGGACACACTTTTATTTACTTAATTATGTCTTCAACAATGTAAAAGTGAATTTCCTATTTACTGTCTTTTTCTTTATCCCTAGGACACTTCTTGTTCTTCAAAAAAAATTCTACTTCTAAACATACTTTATGTATGTGCACCTCATCTCACAATTACTACATATGTTAATTGTATAAGAAACCTAAGCATTAAGCTCTACAATAATAGTTCAGAATTTCCTACTTATTGTCTTCTTTTTCTTTTTTATCCAACTGCACTTTTATTAAAAATCATTTATAACTGATAGAATAAACACTTATAATTACATATAAACAGAAAAATGCTCGAAGTTATAGACTCATAACTACCTTAAATTTCTTATAAAAAGATATGAACGATTAGTTACTATTAATTTGATGCATAAATTTCAGTATCTTATCTTTGTTACACGCTTGTTCAACTCCAATTCATACACTCCTCAACTTTATCTTAGTAAAATCCTTTCTCTAATAAACCTTTTCAGTCTAATGCATTATGTCCTCTATGTTTTCAACATTAAATGTGATATAATTATAATCAATTACATTACTGTTTGAGTATGTAAATTTTATCCCCATATATCAAAATATTGATATCTACATTACTAAAATAGCTTTATTCAGTTGATTTTAAAGTCCTATATATTCGGACTTCGTATATAGTTCAAATAAGAAAAGATTTAATCAATAAAATTTTAGTTGACTTCAGATTCCTAAATATTAGAAAAATCATTAAATGTCTATTTCTAAATATTAGAAAAATAATTAAATATTGAGCCGAGGGTCATCCGGAAAAAGACTCTCTATCTTATTAAAGATAGGAGTAAGGTCTACTTACACACTAATCTCCCCAGACCCCACTTATGGGATTATAATGGGTATGTTGTTGTTGATGTTGTTAGGAAAATAATTAAACATCTATTCCTACATATTAGAAATTAACTAAATGACTTTTATCTAGTGTGAAATCAAATTTTAAAGGACAAAAAATGCGAACGATATTTCCCTAAGAGGCTTCGTGCTTTTAGTATAATATCGACGCATGTAATGAAAATTATTTGGGGATTTGAAGATACAAGACACGAGTTTCGACTTGTTGAGTCCTTATGAGTATTAATAGATAGTTATGCAAGAGTTGAATTACCAATCATAAAAAGAAACATGGAAAAGAAAGAATATCTAGGTAATGCATGGCCGTACTTCTTCAACTTCCTTCTCTGTAGCTTGTTTGTTCAGTGACCCAACAAATAACTTGTACTCAACTGCACCTACCAACAGATAAGAATCAAAATGAGTACCAAACTAATAAGGACAGATAAGTCCCTTTTCAACCAACTCAAACAAAATACTATATGAAATAAAAAGCTGAGGCAACCCAATAAAAAGAAAGAGAAAAAAGTTTACCAAGGCGTTCACGTTCACCATCCGCATATCTGACTTGAATAGGACCAATTCCCTGGTAAATACACAGATGAATTAAGAACTGAAAACCGAGTCAAGAATCTTAAAGTAACTCAGTAGAAGAATTTACCCCAGGCAAAGTATATTGATTGTGTAATGCTCTTATAGCTCTATCAGCTTCAGCTGAAGTAGCATACTTAATAAAACAACATCCTGCAGAAGTCAAAAGTTTACATCCTGATTTTATCAAATTCCACAACCTTCACCAGCAAGTACACACCAGCAAAGAAGAGTACATCATTCAGTAGCATGATACACTAGAAGTGCGCCTAATGGAGGCTTAAGGGATAGGAAAGGGGTAATAAGTGACTAATATAATCATGGGGAGAAAGTTCACCACATCAAGCCATCTTTTCTTGGTGATAAGCAAAAGTAATAGGCCAGTTATAAGCCCAGAAGGTGTCGGGCTTGAACACGCATATATGAGATTCATTCATCCCATCAACAGTGAGGCATACGTGCTGCTCTGTTAAGTCAGCAAAACACACCACCCAAATGAGTAGGAATCTCTTTCCGCAGATACGAGATCCAATCAAAGTCATTCACTTCCTAAACCCCCATATAAGACCATTTGAAGCCCTATGGCTTTACAATATTTGACTATTCCGAAGACAATCATGATAGTACCTCTTCCTCTCAACCTCTTGGCCACTGAACTGAGTTACTGAACTCAACCTTCCCAGAATCCCATTTCGGAAAATCAGGTCGAAGGAAAATGGAATCCTCGCTTGGCAATAAAACACTCAACAATTCTCACCTCAAAAAAAAGTTTAAAGCTATGGCACCCCCTGTATGGCCAGTCTAAGAGGAGAATCCAGACATTGGACGCTAGGTGGAGGTAATCCCTTTATTTTATTTAAACCAAAGACTTGAGGGAATAATATATCCTAAAATCGTAACATTGTTCGGGCATTCTTTTCTTTCAGTTCATCACACAAAGACTAAATTGTAGAAGAGGAGAAGTGAAAATGCGTTATTCTCCCAAAACATTTGAGAAGTTAAAATAACCAAATAAACTCTGTAGATCAATAGAGCTATTGATTAACCACGGCACTGAAGCTTGTAATTAATTTTCATTATATCACTGAACATCACTTCATAAAAATATAAAGATCGAAATAAAATAAGGGTGCTTAAGGTTTGCAACAAAAGAACAAGTGACATCTCAGAACTACAAAATTAATAACTAAGGTGGAGAAACAGAATAACTCTTGTAACTGAGGACATCATTTGATAATTAGAAAACTACATAGCACAAAATTAGTATAAATAAAAAGGCTCCAAGCGAGCATTCTTCCACTTAATCAGACAACATGAATGAGGCTAACCATACAACACCTGTAAAATATGTAGTACAATCAAAGATTGCATATATCAGGACAAAGTATGCAATATATTGCCAAAACCATTCAACCAAATAACAATCATAGCCTGATGAAGAACAAACATCTATAAAGAAGTGAATAATAGCCAGAAATTTGGAACCACATCAAAGACCAAGAAGCAGACAATGAAAGTAACGTCAAGATGCAAAACACGAAGAGAAACCAAGGCGAGAACCCCATCACTGAAAATCAGTTCCCTAACTCAGATGTGAAGCAACTTGGCAACACATTCAAATGGGAAATCACATTAACTCTTCAGCACCACTTTTAACTGTAAGATACCTTAAAATAAAAACTACTACTTCCCTGATTTTAGTCAGATTGACAGGCATCAAACACCTTTCAAATCACTATTACTCTTTTCCTAATATAGTTTCTAAACAGTCCCTGGAGTCTTTAGTGGTGAAACTGTTCTCAAGCAATGCAGATTTGACCAACCACGTCATTCATGCAACTGCTCTGTCAAATTAACTCTAGCCACCTTTTGAGGCAGGCATAGTGATGATATGTTGGCAGAATTGACATTTAACAACTCTCAGGGCCCAAATCATACACCTACTACCAATGTTTATACAACAGGATATGACCGTCCCATGCAGCCAGAATAATCTGTTGTTTGATAGAACTCAATGAAGCCATACTCTAAGCAACCCCATGGGTTTTGGTAATGGAAAAGAATAATAGAGGCCTTTACCCTTGGAGATCGCAATTAATATATATCCAACCACACTTGTAGGACGAAGCAAACCACGGATAAACTAGTACAACACATGAGGAAATTGCTAAAGCAAGTTGTATTGATGATGAACTTCAGCAAGAAAATTACGCATCCATATCCATAAAAAAGTACTTAAATCATAATTCAACCATGCCACCACACAGCAAAAGCAGTTTGTACAACCATATTGTTCTATAAGGGTGTACAATCCTGTAATGGAAGAAAATCTAGAATTTACACGTGGCATACGACGCTCGCATGCATTTTATCATTGAACAACCACCATCGCTTCTGACAACTATTGTTGACCATGAGGCCAAATCTCAAAACCAACCACACCAAAAGGATTCTATTAAATAATAATCACTTCCAAAAAATTAAAATGCCATCTAGTGAACCATTATCACAAGAACCTCATTCACGCGAGAACATCATCAAACAAACACTAAGAAGCATTCACTGAAGAGTTCACTCACAGCGGGGTAAAAATTGCATATAATTCACAATTCTCCAATAAGCAACATAATGAACTGAAGATGGAATATTAATACGCTAGACATCACATCCATCCTGGTAAATATTTGAAAAAACCTGGGGATACATTCAAATACACAACATTGCACCAGAAAATAAAAAATGGCGATGCCATGGCAGCCACGCATCTACCACCAGGCATACATATCCAATATCAGTAGTCATTAACCACGCACCGCACGTTGCAAATGTTAAGCGCACACACATGTCGAGGAGTTGTTAACTAAAGCATTTATAATCAACCATACGCATTCTTGACCATGATATGAATGAAGAAGAAAGAACACAAACGTCTAAATACACATTGCATATAGGACGATTTCACTATTATCTCAAATCAGCATCTAGAAGCCCTGTCAGCCAAAACACTCTAATGAAACAGCCAATTTATTTACTCTGGTGTTTGCTGTCATACATCAACCATGGTGAAAAGATAAGCTTCAGATGAGATCAGAAAAGCTCCAATAAGTCAGTCACTGGCCGAAAGTGAAAAGTAGATGATATTGCACAGCTAATCAGTAGGACAATTTACCAACAAATAGGTCGCAATCTCATCACATCACTTCTAAAGGAGATTTGGCAAACATCCAGTTGAACTCGTCAACTACCATCTCTATTTCATGATCCAACTTCACAACCACAAAACATTCCAAATTAAATTACTGTAGCGACAAGCAAGCACCACCATGACCAATTTCCACACATCTACTGAAGAAATCATACTACTACTCCAATGCAATAGAAATTGGTCACATCACTTGGAAATAATCCAAATGTCAGTCATTTCAAGTGCTGTACATCCAGAGATTCCACAAAGCTAAACACAGCAGACAGTTACACTCACATAACCTAATACAGTAATCAAACTCTCTAATTTGTCCAACTGAAACCTGTTGTACAAAATAAGAACCTCTCTTCACTATTGTCTACTGCCACAGAAAGGTTGATTCACAAGTTTTATTCTTGTCTTCTGCTTGGTTGACAGGATGAACGCAAAAGACAGTTGCAATCAATGGGCATCCAGACAATTGTGGAAAACTAACTGACATCAAACATGAGCTTATACTGCTCCTTCAGCCCTCAAAGGTCCTGAAAAGAGACATGTGTAGATCCGAAAGAAAATTTGCAACAAATTCTAACAACACATACCTTGTTGTTGCCCCGTTCTCTTATCTCTGATGAAAGCAACCTCGAGTACTCGTCCTTGTTCCTCAAACAAAGGTCGAATCTGACATGAAACAAACATATAAACTAAATGGACTGAGAGTTGAGGAAGAATACCAAACACATGCTCAAATGATACAGGTTGAATAAAAGAAAAGATGGGACCGGCAGCAATATTGGCAAATAATATGCATCAATGTCTAGAAGTCAAAAGGAAAAATATCAAGAGCACACAGGTCATGGAAAGCAAAGTTACAGTAAGTGCCTTGACACAAACTGGACAATTGTTCAGAAAATGCTCTGCTTAACTACTTTCTGATAAGAGAAACCGACATCAACCGCAAGTATCCATCGGTCTGAATACCAACTAATTGCGTAGCCATCAAAACATTAGTCTATTCTTCCTTCTTTGACAGGATATCAAGGTCAATTGTTTGCTGACACAAAAACTGAGTCCTTTCCATTTTTTTAGATATAAGAGGCAAACATAGAGAAAAATGGTAGAGAACGTGAGGTGCATGATCAGGAGAAGCATATAGAGCAGCAGGAACCAGAATCCTAAATGCTAGAGTCACTATGATTACTAACAACTAAGAGGGAAAATAAAACAAATGCCAGATTTAAGCATTAACAAGGACTTACATCTTCTTCAGCTGCTGCTCTTGGGACAGATCCCACAAAAAGTTTGGCAAAACCACCTTCATCAACTCCGTCTAAAGATATGGATAACAATGAATACATTAAAAAAAATATTTAATGGAAGTTGTGAAACACTCAAAAGAAAGCTGAAGTCAGCAAGCACAACGCATAAACCAACACAACAAAGAGAGGGAAAAAGACAATTAGAACGAACAGTTAAAGAACCTATCAGGTGTTAGTTATATACTACTAAAAGAACAGCAAGCATCAATGAACTCCCTTAATGGAACACAGAATCTACATTACATTGACCAAGCAATACGCCTTTGCTCTTTAGTCAACAAATTTCATTAATAAACACCAACTAATGTCAAAAATATACATATCAGATGCGTAAATGGTTCTAGTTGAGACGCTGAGTCACCCACTGTTGATCAACAATATGCCTACATGCAACCTTGATAAAGTATGCCTACACGTAACTACCACAGTATACACAAAGGATTTCCTATTAAAATATCAAGAGGCCTGAAATTTAGAACGTATAGAAGATACATTTGAATAATATAACGGTTTGAGAGCTATTTCTAAGAAACATACAATACCCTTCAGGCTCGAGGTGTTAGGGCACACTAAATAATGTTGGCTCACCATGCAAAGCACATTCTTGGCTTAGATGACCATTCTAAAGCCCACTTACACAAGCCACATCTACTCATATAACCGAAAAATCCTCCAAAGCCAATTGGCCCGCTCCTCTACCCTTCTCCACTTAAGTACCAGGCTTTAATCTGGATCCGAACGCGTCATGTATGCCTAACCTGCACATCACGCACTGCACTCTTATCACAAGGCCAAGGCCCTAGGGGCTCTAATTTGGCTTTAACTTAGAGAAACAAGACATTTTCTGCGTTTAAGGAGTCGTAAGACACCATAATGACAAATTGGTAGAGGACCAGTAAGAAGGTTAGAGAATTAGTTAAATTAGTTAAACTTGGCTGTTCATTCATCGTGAACAATGCTCCTTCTATAGTTCCTAGAAACTGAAGGCTACACCATAGGAATTTAACATGTACAAAAACACTGACCGTAATCCAATAAAGTACAAGATAAACACCCTAACCTCAGCCATAATGCCCTAAGATACCAATATCGTTTTTTTAAGGTTTTTGAAAGCCTTAAGGCCCTTAGCTACCAATATCATGAAGAACATATCAGTAATTTTCCCCTTCGAGCGTGCGCAATGAAATTCAATAAAATCGGACTTAACTTATTTTCTTTTAGCACAAAAGAAAAAAAATGAAAGTGCACCCACAGTAGCAAGATAATTGTTCATGAAACCCCAAAAAGTTAAAACTAATACTCCTAATAAATAATTGGAATTTCAGATGTACCCCTCCATCAATCAATCAACTAGCCTAAATCAGTTTGCCTCCACCACACAAAATCCTCTATATTCTATTCCGCTCTACTCATGTCCATTTCGTTCCAATACAAAATAATTCACGTTCAAATTACACTCGGGAATAAGGAAAACAAAAAAAATTACCTGGAGACCCACTTGTATTGGAAGAAAACGGATAACCCCGCTTTTGGCCCGAAAGTGGAGGAGGCGGTGGCGGCATCTGGTAATTCGAATGGAACCTTTCAGAATCAACCCCACCACCACCAGTACCAACAGCAACCGCATCAGTAGGAGGGTAGCGAGGAGGGCTATCGAAGGCGGGCCGGTGGGGCCCACGATATGCATTAGGGCTTCGACGATGATGTTGAGGGTGAGGGTTCATGGAACCATCAGAGAAATTAGTTCTAGAAGATGGGGGACCGCCTCTTGAGTGCTGCTGCTTATAATGAAATGGGTCTGAATTGTTGTTGCTATTCACATACCTCTCTCCTCCTCTGTGCCTATCCATCAGATTATTGACTTCAGCTATTTCTTAAACCCTAAACTTTTTGAGGATTGGAGATAAAGGGGTTCGAGTATCGGGGTCCCTTAAACCCTAGAGGAGTTCCTTGTGCTGAACTTACAGAACTAGCTATGCTCTAGCCTGTAGGAAATGGAGAACTCTAGCTATTGTAATGTCGTCTCTACAGTCGATAACTGATACAAACTGTGATTCGATAATCGTCAAGCAAAAGTGACGTCGTACCGCTTTAAGACGAGCATCATCTTACTTGTTTACTTGAATGACGTAACATGTATATATGTACCTCATATTGCATTTGAAAAAGTTCTTTTTTTCTTAAATTTCAAGCCGATCAAATAGATATTGATTAACTTTTTGCTTAGTATGAAAGTATAAAAAAAATTACTTTTCATGTCAGTACTATATAAATCCTACAATCAATCCTTTTGTTTAAAACGAGAAACTCTTTTTTCTTTTTTCTTTTTCTTTAGATATTCGATATTTATTATTTATTGGTCCGATTAACCTAAATATAAACTTGAGTACATTTTGATCAAGGTAAGACTAGGTGCATTCGATATTTGCATCAAATTATTATTAAGTTATCATAGTTAAGCGATATAAGAGTGAAAATATATATTAATAGTTTAATAGATACTATTTCCCTCCAACTTATATGCAAATTCCTTTGGCACACCTTTATTTAACATTCAATCTTTCACTTAACAAATATTTCTCTAGGTGTGTCTAAGTCACGTCACTCTTCTAACATGCACGTATTTAACCCATAAAAAGTATTTAACCCATAAAAAAGGGCATGAGGAAGGTAATGATTTTGTCCAAAATCTTATTTAAGTGCCATATGGTAAAGAATAAACCAAAAAAAAAAATTAAAAACATTAAAAATATTGATCAACCTTCAACCTCGAAGAAGCTTGACCTTACGTATGATTCCATTTTAGTTTAGCAAAAAACTTCCACCCTTTTGCTCCCTAACTCTATAGAGATTGAGGAAGGGTAAAATCGAAAATTTTATATTTTTATCAATTTCAGTTATTTCGTACCTTTCTTTCAGTGAGAAAATCAGTCAAACTCTACAGGATCAAACCTAGGTCGCTGCTCTATCCATTTAGTCATTCGAGAGTCTCTACACCTATCCTTTTTTCTTGAACCAATAAATTGATGAAACAATAGTCGGGCCTTCACTTTTCCTGACCAGGACAGCTCCCACATCTGTACAGTTCAAGAACGGCCTCCTCGATTGTGTATCATTCCGGACCACTATTCAAAATCATAGTCACTGGATTTTTTATCTCATATGTGCTTTTCATGAAAAATATACATTGAAAAATTGTTTAACTTATGATCATTAACTATGAGAATTGTATTTCTTTGTTCATAGGATTGCTCATCATGTAAATCTCCTAATATAGTTAAACACTTTCTTTAGAAATCTTTTTTTTTTAAATGCTAGGCTTCAGGTTGGTAGGGTAAAGAATATATTTATGTTGATTATTTCACTTTCATCTTTTGAATTTGTGATACCAAATTTTGCATTTGAAAATTAAAATATCTAAGACAACAAACTAACAACAAATAATAATATTTTATTTTAATAATTTGTGTGAGTTACAATATTTAGACTATTTTAAGCCAAAAGAAGTAGTCATCTGATTCTTCTCCTCACGATCATCAACACATGGGCTTGAATGCTTATTCTTGAATTAATGGGCTAAACTTGTTGGTTGAATTTGACCGCAGATGTTGAGCCCTACTTTGATCACAAACGTGAAGCTATGAAAGACTTGAAGCTCGCCACTGAAGAGTAAGACCTCTTGATTTATGGAAAACTTGTGGATCACCACTAGGGATGAAGGCTTCTTGATTGATGATTTGCGCATCACCACTATCACGACCCAAAATCCACTATAGGTTGTGATGGCGCCCAACGTCGCTTGGGCCAGCCAACGGTGAACTACCAACCTTTTACAATGCATTTTATTACTTTCGAAATCGTGAATCTTATTAGATAAAGAAATAAATGCTTTAAAATCATGAAAACTTACAATTTAAATAGAATAAATAATAAAATTGTGTAAATGCTAGGCAAAACCACAAACAATTTACAGAATATTCCAAAACCTGGTGTCACAAACGCATGAGCATTTACTAAGGAGTACAATAATGATACAACATCCGTCTGGAATATAAATAAGACAGAATAATGTAAATAATACGATGGAGACTCTGTGGGCTGCGATACGTAGCCTGAAATTTGCAGCTCACCATAAAGTCCCCTCAGCAGATGCGCCTACGCGCCAAGATGACCACCAAATAACCTGTCAGATCATGCACATTTAGTGCAGAAGTTCAGCATGAGTACGTAAATCAACGCAAACCCAGTAAGTATCTAGCCTAACCCCAGAGAAGTACTGACGAGGGGTCGACATTGACACTTACTATAGGTCCAATAAAGCAATATGATGTATCGTAAGTAGATATGAAGCACAACAGTAATAACGGGGTAAAATTGTAAATTACATAATCTTCCAAAAATTTCTTTTAAAGATATAGATTCCTCAGCCTCGTATTCTATCTCAACAGCTCAGATGTATCAAGTGCCAATATCAAACGGATAAGGAAATACCATATAAAGTGTCGGGCATCAATGAAAAGATAATCTCGTGAATGTTCGGATTGCCAGCGATATAACGCACGATTATGCCGAGGTCGTTCGGTCTGATCCAGAATAATATGTACACTGCCAAGGTCGAGCGGCACGAACCATAGATGTATATATTATACTGCCGAGGCGTTCGGCCCGCTCCACAAGAAATGAAGGAACTTATCGCATTACGCGGCACGTGCTTACAACACAGTACATAGTATAAAGTGAATGCAACCTTTACCGTTTCTCAATTAACTTGCCAACAACTCAAGGTGATAAAGCTCGGCCTAATATATATACATGTATTTCTAAATCAATTTCAATATATAAATTTGATTGATTAGGCCAGCAGAATAAGTTCAAATAATTAAAATATTACATGATAAAGTCCTAAGTCCACCTGGACATAAACATGCTTTAACTACGTACAGACTCTCGTCACCTCGTGCGTACGTAGCACCCACAACTAGTAGCACATAACAATCACATCACCTAGGGGTAGTTTACCCCTCACAAGGTTAGACAGAAGACTTACCTCGCTCCAAAGTTCTACAACTGGCTCCAACGCCACTCTAACACCTCAAACTGATGCCCGTCAATCCAAATCTAGTAAAACAATGTGCAAACCAATAAGAATATATTCTAATACTCATAATTAATCAATTTATAATAATTTCCAACTTCGCTCGAAAAGTCAACCCTCAAGCCCACATGCCGGATTTCGAAAATTTTCGAAGATAAACTTTACCCATGACATCACGAACTCAAATATATAATTTATTCCCAATTCCATGTCCAATTTCATGGTCAAATTCCAAAAATACCAATTTCTAGGTTTTCTCTTGAAATCCCATAATTTCCACAATTTTTCATTTATTTACAAGCCCAAATTCGTATGTTTAACTCACAACTTGTAGAAATTACTTACCTCGTGATTGACGATAAAAATGGCGCTCCAAAATCGCTCCAAGATCGGCTCCCATGGAAGAAATAAAATGAAAAATGAGCCAAGACCCGTTTTAAAACATTCTGCCCAGCGCTACTTCGTTCTGCGTCCCATGATCGCTTCTGCGGCATCAAGCTCGCAACTGCGAGAATCCAGCCAAAGTCGCCAACCGCATCTGCGGTCCCTTCAGCGCTTCTGCGCCCATGCTTCTGCGACGCCTCATCCGCAGGTGTAGTTCCGCTTTTGCGGAAACTCGACCACATCTGCGGCCCCAGTCTTTCCCCAGCAAATCCGCTTCTACGCTGGCCTAGCCGCTTCTGCGGAGTCGCATCTGCGGCCCTTTTTCTGCAGGTGCGATTGGATCAATACTTAGGCCCTTCAGCAATGCAACCAAGCTCCAAAGTGATCCGCAACTCGTCCGAAACATACCCGAGGCCAACAGGAACCCGTCCGAGCTTACCAACAAGTTCCATAACATAACACGAACCTGCTCGGGGCCTCAAATCACATCAAACATCATCAAAACTATGAATCGACGATTGAAACCTTTCTTTAAACTTTCAAACTTCGCCCGACGCGTCCGAATTATACTTAAACATCCCGGCACCAAAATTTGCGTATAAGTCACAAATCACGATATGAACCTATTCCAAGGCTCGGAACTCCAAATGGACACTGATAACATCAAAGTCCACTTCAAACCAAAATTAGGAAATTCTTAAACCTCCAAAATGCCAACCTTCCATAATAAGCGCCTGGAATGCTTCTGGACCACTTGATACTCAACCCGAACAAATGCCCAAGTCCGAAATCACAGTATGAACCTATTGGAACCTTCAAATCCCAATTCCGAGGTCATTTTCTCAAAAGTCAAACCTTAGTCAATTCTTCTAACTAAAAGCTTACAAAATTAGAATTTTCCTTCCGAATCAACTCCGAACTTCCCAAAATCCTATTCCGACCACATGTACAAGTCGTAATACATGAAGTGAAGTTACTCAAGGCCTCAAACATCCGAACGACGCGCTAGAGCTCAAAACGACCGGTCGGGTCGTTACATTCTCCCCTACTTAAACATACGTTCGTCCTCGAACGTGCTAAGAACTGCCTAAAATCACTGTTTTACACCTCGTGCACCTACTCGTGCCACCACAACCCACGTGAGCACATTAGCTTAAGCCAGACTGAAGATCCTCTCTTTTACCTTAGCCAACAAGCCTTAGGGCCAAATTCCAACATCCAAAATTCTCCACGAGACCTGATTCCAACATATGAACACCGTAACAATCTCAACCCACTGTACAAAATATGATCATGCACCCGTGCTGAGATCACACAATGCACCGCACAATTCGTATGTCCATAATAACATCCTCCGACTACAACAACTGCAACTTCACGAACCAAATGCCCGTAGTATACCTCATAACACATATAAGCACGGTCTCAGCCCTCGCAATACTGTCGCGACGAAAGAGATGCGTAGAAACTCATAACCACCTACCAATAAATCATGGAGTCTCTCTTCCTGATAAGAACCACTACCTCATTCTGAACTGAATAACGATATTTGCTTTTTAATATGCCCTACGTAAATTTGATCGCACTGATTTCAGGTCCAATAACCCGTCTCACCCAATACAAGCTGCTCAGGCAATAAGCC